AATGTTCCGGAGGGCTTGGCAGCGAAAGGGTTAAACAGCATATATGGCTTAAGTATGGCAAAGCAGGGAGGTGATACCCAAAGTCTCCACCAGAGGGCAGCGTATCTGAGCCGAGACAATTGCTGAGTTCAAATAGCAGATACTTGCGGTTTGGTGGTATGAGCGATCAGCTGCAGGCGAGAGGAGTCCAGTGGAGGCTGGCTGCTGGGGAGCTGAAAGGATCCGTGAGGAGAGGGTTGAGGCAGGTTGGTGAGGTTCCTGGGGTGTTTGGGCTATGATCCCAATCATCGAACACCCCACAGCATCTTTGGCAGGTTTAAATAGCCCGCGGCCGTGACGTCACGCGGCCGTGGGCTACTTCCGCGTTCCAGCTTGGAACGCACAGTAGCTTCCGTCAAGGGGGAGGAGGCCTGCGGCGGTCACCCCGGCCGATGCGCCCTAGCCTGGAACGGAGTCGGGAGGAGCCAGGATCCCGGGGAACATTACACTTCCAACATACCCAGTTAGAGTCCTTGGAATATTCTTCACTCCTGGGGGGTTTTACAGAGTGGCAGGGAAGCGACGTAAAAGTATAAACATTAAATATACATGGGCAAAGTACATGCTTGCTTTAATAACCTGTTTAAAATGATCTACTATATAAAAAAAAAATAATCAGGGATTATAACTGAAGTTTCTAATTTATATGTATACTATGAAAGTGCCCACAAGCACAGTGAAAAAGTGAACCCTCCCCCATTACAAATATAAACCAGCAGACAACCTTGACCAAATCTTTGAACATAAACACTGCCACTGCCTAGAAGCAGATTACTGTGCTTTGATAGATCTTGTGCAGATTTTGCTGTGTTTTTACAGACAGGATTTGCTTCCCTTAATTCCTTTTTAAGTAACAACTTGGAGACTTCGGAGCACACGTTGTATTAGTTCCACAGATACTCTCCAGTCCAGGGAGAGAGGCTAACTTAACACCTGAGGATCTTGATTAATGTTTGTGGACCTGCTGAAAAGAATCTTTATGGAGGCCATAAATGATGTTCTCAGTATTTCCAGACCTCGGAACAAGACAAGAAACACTAGATGCAGTGAAGAGCCACACTGCCATTATGAATTACTTCAACCGGCTGACTCATTTGCAGCCTAACGTGTGGAAATATTTTATACATGCACACACACACATTACCAATTTAGGCATGGTGTATATGGGACCATGTTAATATCACCAGGCAAGGAGTCTGGGTCTTCAAAGTGGTCATAACTCTAGTGTAATGGTGTAAGAGTCATACAGAAACATTCCATGCATAACTATAGACAGAACACAAATGTATTTCACATAAATATGCATCAGGGTATTAACAGCAACTAATCCGCTATGCAGATGGAAAAGCTGGGAGAGGTTTTATTTAAATATGAGACAGTGGAACCTTATAAATCCAGATTCCTATCTACAGGGTGGAAAAAGTTACCTTTTTTCCTTGAAGTTCTTGTATTTTTAGTGTCTAAACATATTTTACAGCACTTTAGAGTTAATCTATATTAGTGGTCCGTAAAAGAGTACACAGGATGAAACAGGGATAGCGTATTCAAAAGAGAATTATATTTAATTCTAATAATAATGAGCTTCCAATCATAAAACTTTAAAATACTTAAAAATATTCAGTAACAAGATGATATGAATTAATAGTTATTAAAGGGATTTTCCACTTTGGGAAAAAAAAACCTTTTACCGCTGACCAATGCTGAACAGAAGGATCCTGTTGCTTGTATACCAGTGATTGCCTTGTGTTTATGAGTGCAAAATGCAACTCTATTTTGTTGCAGCACTTAGAACTGTTCTGCCTTTTTTGGCACAACGCAAATCCAGCTTGAATATAGATTAAAGGCAAGTGTTGAGCTCATCCAAGTAAAAAAACTCAATACTGGTTTGTATGTGAAAGAATTTTCAACATCATAGCCGACAGTGGGGAAACCTCCTTACGCACCAATCAGCATCCCCCTTTCATTTTCAAATCTTAACTGAACAAACTGAAGAGAGAAGCTGATTGGTTGCCATAGGCAACTGCTCCAGATTTTTCTGCTCCAGTTTTGATAAATTCCCCCAATAGTATTCTTTCCCAGAATGCAAAGCTTTCTGTGATTGGGTGAGGCAGATTCCGTCATTCATTCACCCGTTGTCAGGCCGGGTAACTGGCCCGGGAGTGGAACCCCTTGGCAGGGATGAAAACAAGTCCAAGATCGCAATAACAAAAGGGTAATCCAATAGAGCAATCGAGTCCAGGTCTGGGTCGTGGCAGGCAGCAAGATTCGTAGTCGAAGGGTCAGGCGAAAGGAGTCAGATCAAAAGATAGGTTCACAAGAGGAGCTGGGTGTTCACCATGAGGTAGAGTAACTCAGCAATGAGTCAAGGTTCTGACCAGCTTTATAAACACAGGGAACCCAGGACCGCTCCCTGGTTGCCAGGGCAGCCAGGAAGCTTCCCTAGTCAGGAGCCAATCGCAAAGCCGAGGGCAGTTGGTGAGTGCTGGAGTCCTCCCCCAGCTTGAGTAGCACCTGGAACGTGGGATGGCACAGACGCACTACGCGCACGCTCCTGGGCACTCGCGCGCAGCTTGCATACCGTGACTCGCGCATGGGCACCGTCAATCCCATCGCCAGATGCCCTGCCAGGAGGAGGAGGAGCCCGTGCCCGATGCCCGCGCCGGCGAGCCTGGTGAGGAACGGCCCCCCTGGGTCCCTGACACCCGTCCTCCATTCACAGAATAGGAAAGAATACTCAATTTCTGTGAATGGGGGAGAGGAAGAGGACAAGTGGTGTCAATGGTACACAAGATCAGCACTGTAGAGGATATGCAGCAATGGTGGGGGGAAAATGCCTACAGTAAGTAGAAACCAGCAGGGCACACTTCATTAGAGGTAATATACTGTATGTCCATGGTGCTGGATACACAAAAATATTTAACTAAACTTTAAGAGCTATTACACTATGTAGCAAACATCACAGTTAAAGTGATCATACCATTCCTCCCATCTAACAGTATTTATTGAAGGTCTATACAGAGCCAACATTTATGTCTAGAAAACCCTATACACCAGCTGCAAAATATCTTTGTAAAAATCTACTTTACCTCCATTCACTTTACCATCCTTTATCCCTCCTGCTGTGGTACACAATGCGGAAAATTTATCAGACCTGGAGCAGACAAAATCGGGTGCCGTTGTCTATAGTAACCAATCAGCTTCTTTCTTCAGTTTGTTTTGTTGAACTTTGTTAGATAGAAGCTGATTGGTTGCCATGAACATCTGCATCAGACTCTTTCTGCTGCAGATATGATAAATACCCCTCCGAGTGTGTTAGTTTGGCCATGTACTAAGGTGAGCACTACACATCTTTTGAATTACATCTGTAAATTTGGCACTCTTAGAGGTATCCCTGTTTCTTTTTATTCCTTCATTTTATTTGTTGCAGAATTTTTAGGGACTTCCTGTCTGGTCAAACCGTTGTTACTGTGATGGTAAGTTTGGAGGGCAAATGTCTCTAAATGAGCCTCATAACACTTGAAGGGGTTTTTAATACTTCCCCTCTCTCCAAACAAATATTATCTGGACTTACACGTATTGTTTTAGTTCAGTTTAGCAATAAAAATAGTTGTTTTTGCTTATGCCATCTGATTTAAGAAGAGCAAAAGTGTGCTTTACTTTATTAGTTATGCTTTTTCAGTACATCTCTTTCTACATGGTCAATAATAAGGGTACAACTTCCATATGAATTAATATTACATTTTTGAATTTAACCTGCTGCAAAACGATAAATCTGGTATCACTGACCTAAAATTATGCTTTCTGCTCAGACAGCTATATTTTAGAACAAATACGGTTTTCTCGTACAAGTGACCTGTCAATCTCATTCACAGAGCAGCAACCTATAGAAGAAGAAAAATAAATAGTTAAAGAGATATTTCATGTCACATATTTAGAAGTAAGGAAAGGAACAGAAATAAATAATTTAATAAATAAATGTTTTTCTTTTTAAGCTAAAAGCTGATGTCCAACTTGAGACCACAAACGGTATAGAAAGCATTTACATTCATCCTGTAACAAGTTACGGGGTCTCTTCTTTTAAATTCAAAATTACAATGTTTACAGTGATTACAATGGTTCCAAAATTTTACACAGTTACCTCAGAGGGTCCTCCTGATGGATTCAGGAGGTGCTTTTTGTTTGTAAAGTAAACCTGTTACAATCCTGTGCAATTCAAACTTAGCACAGAATGAAACTGTTATAGGCTCAAGGTTAAGTGTAGTGAAAGCCACATACCAAAAACAATCCAAAGATCCAAAGATATAGGCGGATTCACTGTCTACATCCATGAATCTTCTGATTTTTCTAATAAGACAATTTCACTGATAGTAACCCCTGCTTATATTTTTATTTATCATTTGCTCATTTTCAATAGCCCAGTCAGTGTTACATCCATGATATTTAAATATTACAGGCAGCCTCCTATCTTCCTGAGGAAGCTTTTTAGCGAAATGCGTCGAAGCTGGACCCACTGTGCATTGATGCAAGACTTTTTGACATGTGTTTGACAAATATATAATGAACTCAACAATTATTTATCAATATTTATAAATGGTTACTACAATGCTGATGCCTAGAATGTGGCCGTGTGGTCCAGGGAGGCTACATGCCTATGGTGATTTTAGACTGTATTATGTTTAGGAAATTGATGTGGATGTGAAACCAACAGGCTTATACATTGACCCCTCCCTTCTTTTTATCAGTATTTATTAAGCAAAATAAAAATGAATTTCTAAGAGTTACTGTATATACTCGAGTTATAAGTAAGAAGACACCTGACGCTGACTCGAGTATAAGCCGAGGGGGGCACTTTTCAGCCAAAAAAATGGGCTGAAAATCTCGGCTTATACTCGAGTATATACGGTATATGTGTAAGAATTATATGTTCTCCATGCCTAGAGTGACACCTTAAAAGCACCACTTTCTCACTTTTTTTGCTATAGCTGAATTTCATTAACAGCCTATTCAAACCACTGCTCTGCGGTAATGCACACTATGTGCTTTGGTGTGTTGCAGTGCCATTCATTGTAAATATCACCCCAACACACCTGCTTTGCAGCACACCGCAACACAAGGTAACACATTACATTACATTGCACTATACTACAGCCGCTCCAATTTTCCATTAATTGTGGTGCTTTAGGCAGCCAATTCAAATTAATGGGCTGCCTTATTGCACTGCACAAATAGGGCCCTCCTTACTATCGTGTCTTGAATTGTATTGTGATTGTAATGTCTTCCTTATATTGCAAAGCGCTGCACAAACTGTTGGCACTATATAAATCCTATATAATATTAATAATAATAATTATAATATTTTAAACAAACTGCAACGCACCACTCTGAGGTGAATGGGCCCTCAGTGAAGTCTAACTGAGGATGAGGAGAGGAGACTAGAACACAGAAGTGAATGGTCACACCATACTAGCTGCTCACAGCACATGCGAGTCTCAGTGCTAGATACACACACTTACATGGAGGATGCATGCACACAAATACTTTGTCAATGTATGCAAACAAGGAATGCAATTATAATATGTTTCATGTAAAATAGTGTGAATTGAGTGTGTATTAAATGAATCTTCTGACAACATTGCAACATGAATCCCTAGATGTTCGGCCCATAGTAAAAGTCTTACTTTATTAATTAAATTCCCATAAATAAGGTGGCTTAGAAAATGCTGTTTTATTGTACACATGTTTATGGTGCCATGCCTGTAGAGATTCAGAAATACGGTGAACAACAATGTAACACTGCAGCTGTGACATATTCATACACTCTTTTTTATTGAGCCCACCATATTACTAAGTCCATTTCATGCTGTCTAGATGGCCATGTTAAAAATGTATGTAGACGTTCACTGATATATCCTTTCAAGGGCAAAGCACAGGGATCATCAAAGCCTGTTCTGTACCTGCATTAACAAATTTACTAGTTCACTGTGAACAGTCTTTTTAGTTTGATATCCTGATATTAATGTATGTTTAAAACAAAAACATCCCTCTGCTGGCTTGTATGCATTTTCAATCAGAGGCGGTCAAAAAGTTATCAGGCAATACTGGACTTTTGTTATAGGATTCACAGAAATAGAGTGTTATACCCGCACTCTACATTCAAAGATTAAAATAAAGATTTTATACAAGTAATAAAAAAATTTAGATAACAGATCAGCTTATAATCTTGCAAACATAAAATAATAATTTTGAAAAAAAATCGACCACAAACCAGCTTTTTTTTATAGTATGTTGGAGAAACAGTATTTAGTCTCTGAATTATCAACAATATATAATTCAAGCATTTCTACAGTGTTAATCAGAGTTAAGCTCTAGTAAGAAGATAAGCACTAGCTTTAGGTAATTTACAAACTAAAAAAGAATAGTAGATTAATGAATAGCTGTTATACACAATTGTTTATAAGCTGCCTTGTCTTTGAAGAGATTGAGCAATAACATCACAGAATTAACCTTTAATGGGCAGATTAAAACTATAGAAACAAAATAGAAAAGTTTGATGTGTGAACTGTTTAACATGTCAGTCATCACTTCAACATTTTGGTTTGGGGTGAAACTGCTCCATGAAAGGTGTCAAAGAAGCCTGACACCTATGCCACAAATCCACTTTTAATTAACCGGTTAAATTATATAAGCTTTTAAAGTATTAAACCTAAAGTGCCTATTCCAGTCACTGCATGAAGGTATTTAAAACTAATTAGGATGAAGCTCTTTAGAAATGCATTTGGGACCTTATGTTATATTGCATCAAGTGAGAATTTTCTACGAGACAAGCAGTATGATGTGGAACAAAAAGTGGAACTTCAGGCTGAGCTAAATACTAAATTGAAATACATATATGAACCATTTTACATGTCAAACAACTTGTAGTGCTATAGGCAACAACTTTTATTACACTTCCAGCACCAGAAATGCAGCAGGTCTGGCATTCAGTAACTTAGGCAGCTTGTCCACATCAATAAAACATACTAAATTGAATAATTGTCTGCCTAGCTGTATCTACACACCAAAATCCCTTTATAGGATGGATTTCTCCAGATTACAAAATATGTGAAAAATTAAACATAGAGAGTAAGACACCTTATAATGGCTACAGCAGAGATCTCACTGCCCAAGCCACCAAGAGACATCAGCATGGCTACCATTTTTTGCTGCATTTGGTTGCAATTAAAGATTTTAAAGAGGTCTTCCTTGTTAATTCATTGTTTCTCACAGGTTCCATATTTGGAATATTGTACAGGTATATGCACCTTTTGTGATTTTAGTATACATCATCTTTATTGACCACATGTTTACAGTGTGTGCATGACATACATACTTACTCGTTGGCATAATTTTCTGGATAAAGCTAAAAAACAGACCTAATGAGGAATACATTCATCACATGCATCAGTCCAACCAGAATTTGTAATCACTTACATGGGCTTAAGGGACACCAATATGTAGTATGTTATGCTTTATATTAAACATGTCTGTATCTGTTGGAGGAGCATGTAATATGTGCTGGCCTCAGCCTCACACAGTCCAGACATTCCCAAAAACCATACAAACATTTACATAGGAAGACAAGGACCTAGTACAATGGTTTTCAAAAGTAGCAAAAATTGGTGTTTGATTGTGTTAGGTATGTGATATGTCTATTCTGGCTGATACCCCTACGCTAACTGCCTATCCTTTCAAACAAATAGCCAAATAGATTAACATTGCAAATTCTAAATAGGTTTCCTTTAAGTCACTGAGATTGTTAATAGATTCAAATTCCCCAATACACTTGCCACCTAGTAAGCAAAAAACGTGTGGTCCCTACCTTTTCTCTGACAGAGCGACATATATAGTAATGAATACATTGAGAGCAGGTATGCCTTAAGGAGGAAGTGACTTGGAGGTAGTCCCTTCCTCCTTAAGGTTCAGGGACACACCATAAGCCCAGACTAGCTCAATGGCAGCTGAAGACCTCCAGACTGTTACTGTACCATATCTAACAAGCAAAGTAAAAATATTAACCACTCTGATCAATTTATAACTAGATGTTAAACTGAGGTACACATAAGCAGAGCAGTGGAAATCTTGTGGTTCATTCTCTCTTAAAACGTTGCCTTATGCTAACATATTACAACAATATTCTACTTTCTTCATTTTATCCAAATTGTTTTTGACATACTGTGTATCTTAACCCACCTGAAAGAGCCATTGCCAGTTTGAACTCTTCTTTTAAAAGATTAAGAACTTCTCTCACACCATCTTCTCCCTTGAATTAAAAAAAAAGAAAAAAAAAAGAAACAATTAGCCATAACCCCTTTAGCTAGTGTGATATTATTTACAGTATATACAAAATTCCTTTCTACCTGATAGGCCAAGCCCCATAATATAGGGCGTCCAATAAAAACTGCACTGGCTCCCAGGGCTAAAGCCTTCAGGACATCTGTTCCTTTCCTCACTCCGCCATCTAAATAGACTTCTACTTTACCCTCTACTGCTGCCACAATTTCTTGCAATACGTCAATCTAAGTAAAGCAAAAAAATAAATATAGATGAAATAGAGATGTTGTATTTCAATAGTACACCTGATCAGCCTTACATAGATACCATGTATAAGTTCAGCCCCTATCCAGTTAAAGTAAATCACGGGTATCGTTATTTTGGTGTTGACATGTATTTATGAAGCTTATTTTAAAGGATCAGCAATGGATTGTTTGGCACCAGCATACGGATCTTTTCACTAAAGCTTCCTGATCCATTGGATTGTATAAGTCACCATATATCTGGGAGACTTGAATGGTGAGAATTCCTTTCAGTAGTTTGTACTGCAGCCCCTCACATAAAATATCTTCCCTTACTAGTAGCTGATCTACACAATTATTTGTTAATTCGACATGAGAATGCTTCAGGGCAGCAGGACATTACTTGACTGTAAACCACTGAACTGGCTGCCTCTAGGAGCATATGACAAAGGTAATGTTTTTGATGTAGAACCTCTTTAAATAGAAGCTGTCATAATACTAAAAAAGGCCATGCTGTAAAAAGATATTATTATGCCAAACACTGCTTTGTTCTTACAGGGAAAGCTCCCGCACTTAGAGATTGTACTGAAATCTACCAGTCCCTTCGTGTTCCCTATGCATTCCTATTGGTCAGTGATGCAGCCAATCATAACTTTGGCAGTCAGAAAAGTCAGGGTATTACAACCTGCTGCAGATACAGTATGTGCAGGAACCACCATGTGCCTACACTTTATAACTGGAGCATTGTTTATTTTTCAGATGACAGGGACTCATTGGGCATTTATTTTACCGTCTCACTCTACCATTCATTCTTTAATTAATCTCTGAGGTTTGTCAGTAACACAGAAGCCATATCTTCAATTTCCCTAAATGTACCCCACTGATAAATGTAAAAATAAACACCACTCACTGTAGCTGGGACACCATCTAACTGGCGTGCACCATGATTGGACACCAGGATGCCACTTACTCCACGTTTAACAGCTTCCTTAGCATCATCAGCTGGAAAACAGAAACATTTAACATTGTCTTGTATAGCATATTGTGATGGAAAGGACATTGCATGAGGAAAATAAGCACAAGTAGGGTGTGTTGTCTGGCTGTTACTTTTCCAATCTGATTGAATCTTATGGGGCAGGAAATTATAAAATATCTAATTACTCCTTGGATTATGGCCCTATTGTTGTACTCTATAGAACAAGGTTATACAAATTAATATATTAATGAAATTAATCTAAAACTACATTGAATATTTTAATTGACAATTTATAGTCTAGAATTCATTGTACTTATTGTAACAACAAAACTGAACAACTTTATCATATTATCTGAAAAAATAAATGCCTGTGTTGTCCACTAAAGTCCAGTCAGATTAAACCCTGAGCCAGAAAATTGCATTTGAAAAATAAAATAATCTGATCACTGCATATTATTGCGATAGTTTTGCTAATTCAAGCCCAATATTTATAACAAGATTTAGATTTTTATGTCTTAGCACACTTCATACCTCTTAATATGCCTTTAGCTACAATAGGAAGATAAGTAAGTCCTTTAAGCCACTCTATGTCATCCCATTTGATAGAGGCGTCAATAGCCTGTGATACATAGACAGCTAGACCACTGTTTTCTCCGTAGCCTTGTTTCGATGAAAAGGCCAGCTCTTCAGTGTCAAAGTTTTTCATCCTGGAAACAGAACAGAGAAAGTCATACTTGATCACCGAGCCATGAGTCATTCCAAAATTGATTTTACTTATCAAATTCAAACTGCCATTGCTGAATGATGGGAAGTAGAAATCCGCAGTTTGGGTGTCTTCTTTTATTGAAAGAGCTGAAAAACCTTTGCAGGTTTCTGGATGGTAGAAAATGTTTTTGGCATTGTCATGTCCAGTATAAACTTCCTATTGCATGCTGTTTGATTTCATACCATAATTTCAATCCAAACACTGATGGACTTGGTTAAAACATGCAACCTAACCTAATAACTGAACCACTGCCTGTCCATCTACTTTGTTCTTTGAGTCGCAGCTCTTATCAAGCAAGTTATAGGCACACAGTGGAGGTTTTGAATACTTGACTTGTTTTGAGGTAACCATCTATGTAGTCTAACTGGACTTTGGTAAACCCTATCCCTGTCTATATGGTATGCCACATAACAACCCTGCAAATCCAACACTGTGCTGAAAAATGACAATTTGTGGATAACAATCTGATTGCTTGTTTTGGAGCAAAACAAATTGCAAAAAATATATTTTCACTTTAGTACCCTGGGTTTAGATTTTACAAAAGGAGTAGTGGCTGGACACTTAGCAAAGTAAATGATAGTAAATAAGATGAACATTTGTTTACAATTATTACCTAATCATGTGCAGAGGAAATATAGAAAATTGGATTTTTGTTAGCACATATTAGGTTGATCACAGTGAACACAGCTACATTTTATTTACTCAGCTCAATGACCATTCCTTTAGTAAACCCCTTTGAAAAGTAACACTCAGTAAAAATTTTCTATAACAAATGACGCTAATCATTCATGTACATTTTTAAGTGTCAGATTATTTAAAGTGCTACTGAAGACAAAACGTTTTTTCCCCTTTCTTTGTACCCGTTACGGAGATTCACCCTCTCTATTTGTCCTGGTGACCGTTATCACTGATCACCTGTCATCAGAACAGGAATAGATGGGAAATCTTCCAATTAGGCCACACGGGATTTCCCTTGACCGTTATCACTGATGGTGAAAGTGAAAGCAAATCCCAAATTAAGGGTTGTCACCAGAACAGGAATGGATAAGAAATCTTCCAATGTAGACACTAATTGCTGCCAACCAGGGATTTCCCTCTCTTTAGAGGGATTTCCTCTTACTTCCTGTTGTGGCTATGGGATAGGAAGTGAAGGGAAATCTTCCCAATGGGACACAGATGGCAAAAAAAGCTGACAGGGATTATAACCCTCCCTTACTCCATCCAAAACATTTTGGCTTCAGTTCTACTTTAGTTTATTCATTATTTTACTTAGGTCTATAGCAGTAGTAAAAGTTACAGGCTGAGTGGCCAAGATTCCCTTTTGTTTGGCTGCAGATTCAAACTGTTGAACTGGGATATTCCAAGGCATTGGCTGCATGTATGGGAGAATGATGTGCTTTAGGTCTGCACAGGTAATGCCTCCAACACCTAATATGTTCTCAGTCCTAAACTTTACCTTACCATCATGAACAGATGTCTAATGTACCTCAACTCCTTCAAAAAATACAGGGGGAAATTGATCAAAACTGGAGCAGATAGAATATGGAGCAATTGCCCATGGCAACCAATCAGCTTCTCTATTCAGTGTGTTCAGTTAAACTTTAAAAATAAAAGATATAATTTGATTGGTTATTATGGGCAACTGCTCCAGATTCTGTCTTCTCCAATTTTGATAAATTCCCCCCATTGTGTTAAGCTATGCAACCAAATAGAGCACTCCACACTATATTGAGAAAGTTCTAGATTGGGACAATTGGAAATGGATCTACGTCTTTGCTGGACTATTGACATAGCAAAACATATTCATCTGTGAAAAACTGTTGCTCAGAAAATGTGCTGATCCTAATAAATGATTTGACCTCCAGTGGTGTAATGGCTGGTGTTAAATAACGCATAAATACCTGGATGATAAAAAAAGAGAGCTCAAAAAAGACAAATAGAAGAAAATAAAAAGATGAATTTCTATAATTGCTTTTCAAATTTAACAGCTTGACCCAGCATCAGAGCCGGTCTCACTTTATACAGATGACAAGTATGTATTTGAACAGTTTTACATCTCTAACCGGCCTGCCTAATGGCTTCTTCTGTGAATAAAATGGACTTTTTAAATCCACATCTAATTATCAAAGATATTATGATCCCCTCAGATTGGTGTGATCTTGTACATTTACTGTATATGGTCAAATAAACTCACTGGTAAATATTTTTATCTTTACAATTTTATTACAAATACAGAATACCTGAGATGTGCAGGAAGTTGAAACTTGTTGCGCACATCATCCTGTCTTCTCCCCAGGTAAGGTGTGTCTACCGTTACGAAGATCCCTTTATATCCCAGTCTTTCTGCCCGCTGTACCAGTGACTTTGTCAGGTTGCGATCTTTATAGATATACAGCTGCATCCATCGTACGCTGTCCGGAGCAGATTCTGCCACTTCTTCAATGGAGGAGGTAGCCCAAGAACTCAACATCATCCCAGTCCCAACAGCTTTGCAAGCTATGAAATAAAATTCCTCATGTAGAAGCATTATTTATATAGCACCAACATATAACATTTTAAAGTAAACCTGTTATGCTTTGCTTTGCATCTACGGTACTATTATTCCAGTCCCATGCAGTGAGCCCCCACCCACCCAGTACTACAAGACCACAGTACCAGCCAATAAATTATGTGCTTGATGAAGTTCCAGTACATCTTTTAAAATGTATTTTTTTAAATGCAGTCACTGGCTGATTTTGGCTTTTTAACAGGTAAGAAATTTGACCTAGAATCCTTGCAAATAGTATATATATATACTCTGTATATACACATCATACAATAAACCTCTATCCTTCTAACCACCTGTTAGGTGAGTCTACAGAAGCACATCAATTATAAGAGAGCTTCATGTACAACATAGTACATGAGCCAGTGGATGAGCACCAGTGATCTCAGTGAATTTGCTTACCTCTGACAGTGGCAGTTTCCCCTTCAGGGTGAGCCATCCTCTGCATTGCAGTGGCTGCTACACATATAGGCATGCTGACTTTCTGTCCAAGTATAGTTGTTGAGAGATCTGTGATTGAAACATCTCTTAGAACACGAGGATACAACCTGTATCTATAAAGAATGAGATGTCAGTACAGCAAGCATGGTATTAAAGCCCCCACTATTATTATTATTATACAGGATTTATATAGCACCAACAGTTTGCGCCTGCCCCTGAGGGCTTACAATGCTCAGCATGTTTGGCCGACCCGAAGTGCAGAAGGAGTTCGACTCAGCCGATCCAACATCTGGATCGGCTGAGCTGAACCTACGGCAGGCTTTTTGCTGCTGTTCGGCCTATTCTCATAGGGGCCGAACAGCAGTGAGTGAATAGCCAAATGCCGCCGAGTGGCATTTGGCTCAGCTATTCTGCTCAGTACCTCTGTGGTACCAGCAGAATAGAAAAACAGTAAACAAAAAAAAGAAAGCGATTGGGTGGAGGTAGCAGTGACAGCTAGCTCCGCCCAACTGTTTCCTATTGGCCAGAACCTGCTGTCATCACAATGAGAGCTCAGCAGAACTGACGGTGATATGACTGACGACTCCGCTGAGCTCTCATTGTAATGACAGTTTAGCGTCCCCTGGTTAACAGGGGACCAGGGGAGGCTGAACTGTCATGAGAGCTCTGCTCATTGTTGCAGTGTATATAGCTCTTATCACACTCCTACTTTAATACTTTGGCACAATTGAATTGAGGCTTATCCAGAACATAGACTAAATCAACCTACTCATGGACCACAAAAGGCATCACTGGGTCCCTCATGAAACTAAAGTTCAGATGGGTGGATTGAACACTAAATTATTTTTCAGTCTGAAGATATATACGCAGAGAAAATCATGGTGCTGTTTCTGAAAGCCATTGCAAATTAACCTTGAGAGGAATTGCAAAGACTAGCTACTTCCAATTCAGATTAGTCATCATTACTTAGTTTATTTTCATATTAAGGAGCTGTATTTCTAAGGGAATCATTTTTACACTGTCCCCTGTTCATTTTATTCTGGTTCAGAGGAAACTTTTCCAGGGAAACCTGCAGTGAGGAAATATATAGCCTAACATTGCTGTCCTTATGGAATTGCTAGATGACTGGCTGTAATATTCCTACACGAGCTTTAAAGTAGAACTGGTCAAAACCTTTATTTTAGTTTTGGAGGGAGTCATTGAGAGTTATAACCTCTGTCAGCTTATTTTTTGCCATATGTGACCCATTATGGAAACTTGCCTTCACTTCCTGTACAATAGCCACAACAGCAAGTGAGAGGAAATCTCTCCAAAGTAAGGGAAATCCCTGGTGGTCAGCAAAACTAGTGCGAAGATTTTCCATTAATTCCTGTTCTGATGACAACCCCAAATGTGGGATTTTTTTTCAATTTCATGGTCACCAGGACAAGTAGAGAGGGTGTAGCAATAAAAACCTGACAAGGTTCTAATCCCTCTTTGCTCTATCCAAAAGTTGTTGTTTTTTAAAAAAGCTTTTTGCTTCAGTTGCACCTAAAGACTTCTTGAGTCGCTGACCCAGAACAAATATGCAGATCAGAAGTTGTGATTCTCCTCTGGTTTCACTTGCTGCATGCTTTTTCCAGGTCCTTGAAGAAAGCCAGATTTGAGGCCAGGAACAGACAGAAAACAGCATTATCTGAAGGAGCTTATTACAGGAAGCCCTTGTTCTCAGTACAAATTCCCTTTATATTACCATGAACATGATAGGATGGTAGGGATGAGTGGAGCACATTTTGCTAAGATTGATTTTGCAGCACAATGACAGTTTTTTCCTTTTCAAAATGTTTTTCAAAGAGAACCTTAAATTTCAAAGTGCGGACTACTTAGGTGATATTTGTGTGAAAAAAAAAATCAGATGACTTTTCTTTCTGATCAAAGCTGTGTCACTGCCAGCTTCCACTGTATTTCATTAAAGTTGTACACAATGTGCTTCTTTTCTTACTTTTCTTAAAGAAGACAGCGTCCAGTTAGAAAACAAATATTCAATGTTCAAAAACATGTTCACTACAAATTTTTTCTCCCCTTCTTTTGTCAATTTCCATGAAAGGTTAGGTTCCCCCTGTGCCATAATATGTAACTTTATGTTCCCGGTAATGAGGAGTACTTTTTTGTCCTGCCCTGGTTTTCCCTTCAAATTCCAGCAAAATCCCTATTGGGTAGATGAGATGAACCAAGACTACAGTAGTATAGAAAGACAATTACACTTGACATTGTCTGTATGTCTTATACCTTGAAAATCCAATAAAACATATTGAGAAAGAAAAGACAATTACAAGCAATCAAGAAACCCCCCAACACACACATATATACAGTATACAGTATGTGTGTGTGTGCATATGTAAATATATACATAAAGTGTGTGTGTATATATATATATATATATATA